ATTCTGTCGTTTTTGAGGTTGTACCCCATTACTACCTTTCCCACTCTCTTATTGACTATGAGTGCTACTCCATTTCTTCTAATAAATGGTATTTTATAGTGCCACAGAATTAAGTATTTGCTTATCCAACATATCAAAAATTCAAGAACATTTAGAAATAACCATTTCATCTTAGAAATTATAATCGAGAGTCATTTCAATGAGATGGGCGGTGACAAATGTAATAAACAAACAAACAAACAGTTAAAGTGAAAGTTAGGTATTAAGAAAAAAACCCTCTTCACCTATTGATAAGGAATAATTTATCTTCATTCAAAAAGACTCAGTGACAAGAGGATAACATATTTAGGGAATCACGTTAGCATTTCATTGGTAGTTTATGCAACCCCCCAAAATTAGACATCTTCTAAGGGCAAAAGAAGAAAATAATCCACACAGTATTTATATTGTAACATTACTAAATGATTTTGCTGTGGAAGCTATGGTCTACCTTTCATACAGGATTTATGTACTTGTTTATTAAAACTACCTTTAGAAGATGAACATTACATATAATTCCACTGTATTCCATATAGTACAATGGCCTAAAATACATTTGAATCAGGTCTACACAAACAGATTAATAATTTCCAAATATCTTAATAACTCCATGGCCTGGATCACACATTACAGTGAGCCATACATTAACCATGATTTACAAATCACAATGGCTGGAATCATACAACACAACAATCCAAACCCAAGCAAACCATATTCTGGCTTAGTGCAATGTGTTAACATAGTCAGTGCATCATCCTAAAAAGTGAGCAACATTCTGATTACAAAATAGTTTTCTTTTTCTAAAAATCTAATTCTGTTTTACTGTATTATGTTAAGATTGCCTTTCGTACCCTTCTGAATTTTTACTATACACCTTATTCTTCAAAAACAAACAAGAGTCTATGTGGTCAATTAAACCTTCTTTAAAAAGCTTCTTTATAAGACATAATTAAGATTAATGAAAACATAAGAAACTATAAAAAATCTCATAACAACATGTACAGTACACATGACTTTGGTAAAAATATATTGTGCAGGTATGCATTCTCTGTATCTACATCTAATTGCTAGATGTTACTTCTTACAACAATTTTGTAAAGCTCTGTAATTAGACTGCTGGGTAATTATTAAGATGCTGAAACATATATAGCCAGTAGATTAATATTATTAATTTATCAATCAATCAATGTTAAAGAAGAGGACAACACATGATATAACCTCAATTTATTGTAAAAAAAATTCTGGCAGGATCTCAAACATATACAGAAAATACACAAAATCTGGGCACATTCCAAGACATGGATTAATAAAATATATACTAACCAGCTACAATGACACTGTCATTACGAGCTGGACCAAATTTCAGTGTCATCTCATGTTTATGTTTATGGACAGCCAAATGATCCTCGTTGGTAAAACGCTGTGACAAGAAGTTTTAAAATATAGTTATAATTTAAATTTTGACCAAAAACCCTAAGCACTGGGAATCATTTTCACAATGGGTTAAAAACCATTTGCAATGTAAAGACTGATTTTTAAAAATTAAAAGGTTGCTACAATTAGATACTTCTAAATTCATTTGTTGTTTTATTGACCATTCTCTTGAATATTTAAGTAGCATCATCATAAGCACCAAGTGACACATATTAATTTTAATGAAGTTTTCACTCCACTTAAATACAAATTTTGACACAGTAATTTCAGAGTTTTAACCACATAATAAATTACAAGTATGACAGCTTTACAACAGGCAGAATTCCCTTATTCTATAAGACTTCTTTTTCCCCGTCCTTCATTCTGCCACCCACCCAAGAATCCTCTAGTTCTGCTCCAGAAAATCAGGAAATTTTCAAAATAGATTTAGGACACATATACAAAATTGCCCTATTCCTCTAGTGCTCTGCTTTCATTGATACAACTTTGCCACCAGATTTTATCCAATGGAATCTGTCAGTTTAAAAACTACTCAGTAATTCCTGGGCGCAATTAAAGGGAAATTACAAGGAATAGATAATTTCTTTGTGCCAAATCCCCCAATTTCTTTTTGCATATGAGACTCTTTTAAAAGAGGTTGGATTTTTTTTCAAGTTCAAATTGTAAAAACAAGCTTATACACATTCTAGTGTATATTAATATGCAGATACACATTCCTCTGGATGGTGGATATGCTTCTCAGCACATATTGGCACGTCTTAGAATATGAATTTGAGATTAGTATCTAGTCTCCTTCATTTAAAACCACTGAACGTATCAGTTAAAAGCTCCTGGACTGTTAGATTACTATTTTTGCTGTGGTCCCATAAGTCTAATGGGCCATGACTATTTCTGAATCTCCCTCCTAAGATTCCTGTACACTCTTCTCTTCTGCGTCTCTTTCTATGACATTGGATAGTATGCTCTGACCTTATCACCAACCTGTATCATTTTTGAAAGGGAGACTGCTTTCTGGTCAATCGTGTACAAAGCACTGCTGCTATCACGTTCTCCAAACTCAAAATCTATCAGAATGCACTGGCGGTCAACAACTCAGCTGTTTTAATGTCATATAATGTTGGGGAAGGCAACGGGATACCCTTCAGATATTACCAGAAATCAGAGCTCCCCAAACCACTACCGCTGACTACCTCAGCTAGAGCTATTGGGAGTCCAAAATATCTAGGAGGGGTCCCAACTGTGATTGCCTGACAAAGATTCTGGCTAGTTTTTGATGAGAAAGTTGACTGCTCAGGAGGATTTTGAATCCTTATTTGAATTAGCAGCTTTTGACTGAAGTAAAATAACATTGTAGCATATGTATGCTATATGCTTCTAAATGAAGATTTTGGCTTTAGATGAATTTAGCAATCATTGAAACATTTGGCAAAAAAGTGCAGGCAAATAAAACTGGAATATTCCATTTTCCATACCATATATAATATTTCTAAATATATTAGTCCACTAAATGGTATAGCTACAATTTTAGCAGTCTATAACTAATTAAATCACATTTATAAATGTAGAACCCAAAAGAAAACAAATCACAGAATTCAATTGAAAAACTGCTTTAAGAATTGCATTTTTAAAAATTACTTCCGGGTATCAGAAAGAAGTCAGACTATTCTGAGTTTTTCATCTCCCCACCCTCTTAGTATTTACTGTGTTTTTATAGTACCCACATCAGAAGTTTTCTGGGTGGTATACAATCAATTAAAGCATGTTATAAAATAACTTATAAAAGATTATACAAATATTAAAACATTAAAACCAACATAATACAAACATTTTAAAGTATTTTTAAAGTAAAAAAAAAAAAGGTCACCTAGCACCAAAAAGACTACAATGTGGGCATCAGGCTAGTATCTCTGCAGAAAGTAGTGTCCTGATAAATAATCACAGAAGTAAATACTCCTTCCAACAGACTGACCTTAAGTTGTTTAGGGAATTACAGAGTACAACCAATTTTCTGAACTAGGCCCAGAAATCGACTGATAGGAAGAGCAGATAACAAAGCACTGGCACAATGTGGTTGTATCAGCCACTCTCAGGTAAGAGCCTAGCTACCCTACTTTAAATCAAACTTTCTGGACTATTTTCAAAGGCAGACTCACATATACAATCCATAATCTTACCTGGAATGATATGAGCATGAATAATGTTGCCAGGCTATTTTTCTCCAGGCAAGGTCATAGCCGGTGTATTAGCCCAGGAAGATAAAAGGCATTCTAAGCACTGAAGCTACTTGGGCTTTCAAATGATAGTGCTGAATCCAAAAATATTACCAAAACCATACATCTGAACTCTAGTGGGAATACAGCTCTTTCCTCAATTACATGAATACCACTTAATCAAACAGGTGGCCCATTCACAAAATCTTTATCTTCTTGGTTCTGAGTGACAGTGATTAGCCCTATTCCAGGCTATCACATTGCTTAGGCCTATTTATTATTTATGTTTATTATATTCAGAATAATTCTATAAGAAAGCCACTCCCTTTCAGAAACACACATGTACTGCAAAATGAGTTTCTCAAGCATACTGTAAGAATGTTCTATACGTACTCATTAAGAATACAGGAACGGTGAAATCATGACTTCATACAACTGAAAACATGACTCCATTATCAGTGAAACATTAATATATTCTTTATATTAAAAGAAGCATCAAGGTATTTCCTTTTTGCCTCCACATTATTCATTATGACTACACAATATCTTTCAAAATTAAGGTAAACAATCTAATAATACTGATTTTTGATTATGCAGCAACTCTAAAAATAAAACAATTCTGCTAACAGAAGTAATTTTTAATATGTTTTTCCTGATCTTTCTACTCCTAAATTACCCACTAATCAGGAACAATTACAGTTAATAAATAAATAAACAGATAAATAAATGCACTTGGACTGAATTCCACTGCTGGCCTTAGACTACTGTTTAATATAGCAGTACTAAGACTCCTAATGTATCTGAAAGCCAGGGAGGCTAAATCTGCTGCTCATTCCAGTCAAGAACCAGCAACTGAATATGCAGCAAGGAGAAGTGCATTATTAGACTGGGGCAATTGCTTCTTGCTTTAAAAAGTGAGTCAGCTGCTGTTAGGATCAGACATAAACCACTTCTGATGTAAAAAATGTTTCTCTGTTGACTTAGATGAACAGATCTAAAATACATATATTACCTGTCCACATCCAGGGGCAGTACATAAAAAGGGTTTGTCATCACTCATATTCTACAGGTCCTTGTGTTACCTATATCGGAATAGCAAACATATTTAGTTAAGATTATGTCAACTATTTATCTTGTGCTGATTTATGACACAGCCTCAAAAGAACAATATTTCAATGTTCATAGTAAGAGTTTTGAAAGCATATTTCTAAAATCATGAGAAAAAAACAAATCTGGGACATTAATATTGTCCAAAGTGAAATTGAAACTTGAATACACCATTACCTGTCAGGTTAGAAAACATTTTTATGAAGTACAGAAACTATGCTTTATTAGTTGAACAGAACATAAATGTATCAATTTATCTCCCTTTGGTAGATTCTACACATATATGCCAAAATGGTAAGGTGAATAATTTACTGAGCATGAAAGACCTCTGATGCTAGAACTATTCCATTTCTGGTTTTGGATGGGTTGCATTTTCCACGAAGAATTAGTGTATAATCTGGGACTCCCTGGAGAACTGGTGGCAGCTGTGCCTAGAAGGGCCTTTCACAGCTTCATTTTGTGCACCAATTATAGTATGGCTAAGGAAACTTTGCTCAAATCACTCATATCTTGGTAACTTATTTGGATTACTGCAATGTGGGAAGTAGGCATGGGACTGCCTTTGAAGGCTGAGAAACTTCAGCTGGTCCACAATGCAGTGGATTGCATTTATGGGCACTAGTCCATCTGTACGTGTAACACTGCTGCTCTGCCAGTTCATTGGATACCAGTTTGCTTCTGAGGCAATTCAAGGTGCTGGTTGTCATCTTTAAAGCTCTACATGGTCCAGAACCTGAGCGTCTTTGCAATCTCCTACTCAAAGTGATTCATTACACTTGAACAAATGGCTCCTTTTGAAACTCTACTCCTAGGAAGTGTCATCTGTAGAGGCTTCCACCCAAGTCTTCTCAGTCACTATCCTTCCTTCTCTGGAACAGCATTCCCTGGAGGTCAGATTTGGCTTGAAATCTCTTGGCCTTTCAAAAAGGGATCAAGAACTGGCCTTTAAAACAACCCTCTGGGATCTGAGGAGTTTGTCCCCTGAGGAGTTTGCTGCAGAGTAAGTGTTTACATTTGTTCCCTGGTGCTTGGAGTATATGATTGTGGTAATTTTCTTATTCATATTTTTAGTTCCATTAGTATGCTCAGGTGTGTAAGCTGCTCAGAATCAGTTGTGATAGCAGCAACGTAAAAGCCTAATATATAAACAAACACATTACTAAGTGGTGTCTAATAGTAGTGAGACCTAATTGCTATGGAAGGTTATAAAGCTTAATAGAAAGACAAACTAAGAGTGGATTAGATACTTACCACTAATCCAGAAGTTCTTAAAACTTAACAATGGAAATGAGAAATGTATAAAATATTACCAGAAAATGTGTCAGTGGAAACTTTAATTACATCAGATGGGTCTTGAACATTTTTTCTCTACTAAAACAGATTATGATTAAGCCTGACAATCAGTAGACTAAAACTATACCTTAATGAATACAGTTGGAAGGCTCTTTAAATAAGTTTAAATTTTATTTTAAAATGTTCTAATACCTGATTCTAATGGATTCCAGAAAAGTGTTCAGTGACAGAATACAAAATGAGCAATGCAAAACAACATACTAACTTTCATTTAGCAAAAAAGGTGAGATCAACATCATAATAATACGAAGCAGAAATAAGGCAATACAATCAATTCAAAGTGCATGGCCAAATGTTTTGACTGTTAAGGAAAATATTTTAGTATCTATATATGTTAACTTTTGAAAAGCTGTTCCAAAATAGAGATATCACCACAGGAAAGATTCTTGTCTTTATACCTCAACAACATACTTCATTAAATGACAAAATTCATAGAAGCGCCTCATCTGAACAAGTCCATGGCAAGATGTTACTATAAAATATGATTTTTCAGATAGTTAAGTTTGAAACACTTACAGTTCTTAAAGAAAAATATTAGCATTTTGAGTGGGTTTGGAAACCAACTGACAGCCAATAAAGTTTTCCTGGAACTTTTAAAATTGTTTTTTATTTGTCTGAAATACATACAACACCAACAGAAGATTATCCAGAGAGAAATGAATGTTATAGTGATTAAAATAAATGTCACAGAAAAGGAAAAAAACCTAATTAAAAGAGAAAAATATATAATATCTATTTAATATCAATATAAAATTCATTCCTTAGGTTTATCCTTTTTGTTGTTGGCTGTGTGATAGACTGTGGTCAGATGTTAGAAAGATTATTCTAGTTTGTCTAAGACTCTTTGGTATGCTAAGGTATGGAATATAACCCTTGCAGAGAAAATTACAAGTTAATTCAAGATTATTAAAGGCTCAGTTACAACAGATGTTTTTCAACGTGTGGTTTCCATTGAAAGCAATATTTCTAAGGCCAAAAGAAGTTAATTTGCCTTCTCACCTATATTTAACAAGTTTGGATTTTTAATTAATTTTTGTGGTTTTTCTTTCTTCTCTTTTTTTACTCACATATTGATGGATTATATGCTTGTATAATTCAATCTAGCTCTATTGCTTCCTATTCTCATTTTTAGAACACAAAAACATTTAAAAAATAGATAACAGACACATATTCTGAATCCTTTCCTTAATTTCAAGACAGTAAGTTTATTTCCATTTACATAAGAGTATCCTTTTGACTCAGACTCGATAGAGTCAAAGTTCTTCATGAAATGTCAAATTCCATATTTTAGGAATATAGTTCAACATCACATTTATATCTTTATAAATATGTTATTGTTTTTCTTTCCAAAATTATATTAACACATGGTATGATTTGAAACCAAACCAAAGCTGTAATTGGACAAGACCAATTCCTTGTAACTGATATTATATGACTCCAGTTAAGCTAACTAGCCAAACTAAACTAAATGGGAGTTTTCAACGGCAACTCCACATAAAACATGCTACAGAAATCCAGATATAGGCAATTCAATGTAGATATGTGGCCTTCCATGTAGCACTTGTGTTTAAGTTGTTGCAAGTTCTACACACACATACACACACACACACACACACACAAATAGCAGGGTGAACAAAGTACAAGAATAATAATTCCCATCAAAACTGCACTCCAGTCCACCAAACAGTATTGCCCAGGTGGACATTATACACAAGGAAGAAAAATCTGGACCCTTGTGCACCAAGATGGTATGGAGACAATCAGTGTATGAATTTGTCCCCCCCCCCAACATGCTACCATTACATAAGGCCCTTAAGAATAAAAAGATGCTGTAATCCAATTGCATTATTAGAACACTGACCACAACACAGCTAAATGAAAATGTCTAGAAATACCAGTTTATGAACCAACCATAATTGGTTTCATGCCTTCTGAGCTATTGAGCGCACCTGAACTCCCCCTCCCCTGCCAATTTATTATTTAAGGAAAAATGCAATCTCATCTAGAAGTAATTGAAGAGCTATCTACAATGTCTCTACTTTTTATAATTTATTAGCTTTCATCCAATCAATTATTGCCTTCAGACAACAGCCTATTGTTTCAAATGACAAAAGAAATACAACTCCAAACTTCTAAATAATTTCACTTAGCACTTTCCTATAGATGTCAAAAAAGCATGTAGGATAAGGAGAAATTTTATGGGACTCCACAGCCAAGATACCTCAGGAAATCTCTCAAAATTATTTTCTGGAACCAGATTTGCAGACATGAACAGAATTGCCACAACACTGTGTCACTCAATTCTACCTTTCAAAGTCAGCCTAATAAAATATAACCAGTGGTATCATTAAACTGTCAAAAAATCAAGAAGAACCCACAAAGTCACAATTCCCTTTCTCTGTCTGGAGCCATCCACCAGGGTAGCTGAGACTGCCTCTGGCCTGAAGATAGCCAGAATCAGAAATGAAGCTCACTACTCCCAACATAAATTTACCATATTTATCAGCGGATAACACACACTTTTCCCCCTAAAATTTGGGGCTGAAATCCTAGCTGCGTGTTATACACCGATATGAGTGTTATACACCGATGTATAAGCTCCTGTATAAGCCCGACCACTTCACACCTCAAGCGGCAGGGCTGGGAGAGGAGAGCGTTCATTTGAGCCAGGGCTGTAACTGGGGCTGCAACCGCATGCTTCCCACCTCCTCCTCTGATTGATGGCACTTAAACCATGCCTCCTCTGTTTGCAGTCTTTAGTAGCATCACCCGCGCGGTCCAGCACTCAGTGTCGGACTTATAACTACACGCCGGAATGCTGCAAAGAGAGAAGCTTGCGGTACTTTAGTGACATCATCTGCGCGCCGGCACTCAGTGTGTCAGAGCAAAGCGCTGGTGCATTGCTCTCATTACTACACGCTGGAACACTGCAAAGAGAGGAGAGAAGCTTGCGGTACTTTAGTGACATCACCCGTGTGCGCTGGCACTCAGTGTGTCAGAGCACAGAGCCTCCCCGAAGGGCCTCGGCGGAGCGGGCCTCATCCCATCCCTGGTGGCGCATCCCTCAGAAGTGAGTGAACCCTTTGCAAGCTGCCGCCACACCGGGGTGGGCCCGCAGAGGTGCCCTGGCTGGCAAGGGCGAAAAACTTTGCACTAAATCGTGGCCGTGGCAGCCGCCGTGCAGCCCCCAGAGCTGGGGCTGGGCAGGAAGGGCACCCAGCGGTCCCTGGGCCAAGCCAGGAGGAGCCCGGCAGCCCCCCCGCCATGCAGCTGTGATCTGCGGGCCTCGGCTTTCCCCCTGTGGTGTTTTTTTCTGGCTGA